ACCTACACGTTCTGCCATAAGATTGTCATAAACTCAAGCAACATCTGAAGGTGTCACAATACCGTCATTATATACAGTTTTAGTAATATAGTAAGAAAAGGTACCCGCCATTACTCTTACTCGCGCAATCTCTATTAACTATCTACATAATAAAAATTAATGAAACTCCTTCAATAACAATGGCCTTTACCACCAGCTGGTCCTGTTGCTAATCAGACTGTGCACCTTTATGGTGATGAATACAGCCTAATCTAACCAATTTGGATCAAAATATAAAGTTCAGCGAATTAGTGTGTGATCCTGGCAAAGAGACGTATTGTGTGAAAAGAAATGTAAGATGTAGTTGTTAAATGCTGATATATTTATGATTCCACGTCACGTTTTCTCAGTGTTGCTGCAGATTCCTCATGTTGTCTAGAAGTCCGTCTCACAAGCTATAAATAGAGAACTACGGCAGATATGTAATATTTAACGTGTATTACAATGCCGTTATGTGATGACTTTCAAAGAGAAAAGCAAGCACACTCGGAATAAAGTATTATTTTAATTTTTTTAAATGTTTTCGGTCTATTTGTTAATGACGATGTGATGTGAGATGTGAGACTGGAATTGCACAGGGGAAAATAACGTATCTTTAGATGCGGATTTTGTTAAACTAATACGTTTGCGCTGTGGACCAACACTATACATTGACGGGGAAGGGGGTAGCAATAAAGATAACACCATTAAACAGTTACACAACATAACAGAAATAATATAGATAGCAGCGTCCCTAGCAACCACCTTGGTAACAATGAAAACGTTCTATGGACGCAATTTCCTGAAGTAATCCTAAGCAAACTAAAGATCATGTACATCCACTGCACACATAATCTGAAATATCAACTCATATTTCTCGCATCAAATGACATCAAAACGCATTTTAATGGCCAAACTAACTTTAAAATAGGCATTTTCCACCGAGAATAAAACGAAGTTCGGCCATGTTTCTTTTTTCTGCAGGGAGAAATTTGAAGATCACGTGACATAGACGCCAGCCATTATGAATGGTGAAAAAAAACGGGGTTTGTCAAACAGAGCACAAGGTGTAGTCCTAAACGATAGCTGGGGATTCTGGGTAATGTAGTGTCTTCTGCCATCCTTTACTCCGAAAAAATATTTGTTTCTCCGAATCGAAGGGGAAAAATACAAAAGCATTGCACACAATTTAAACCAATCAATGTTGTGTAATTAACAAGGATAATCTGGTGTTTTTTAGTCGATGAATAGTGCAGATATCACTGTAAAATCAATAGACAGTAAGGGGAATACTTACTTCCGGGTGTACAATTCTCCGTTAACCAATGGGAATGGACGCTCACATTGCCTTTAAGGGCAGCCGACACAAACGAATGCCGTGCTTCCATGAGCGTCAAATCCCGCCGCAGATGGGAATACATTGCAATCAGTTGAAAGCTATTTGCGTCCCTTTATGAAGCTGAAGGAGCCTAGGAGCGTCACAACTGCACGCAACGGGACCCTGACCAAACGTCGCTCCTGGGCGATTATGGAGTGAGAGTGTGTTGATTTTTACAACCGTCGTTTTGGCTTCAACTTTTACATGACTGTCTACAGTCGGCAACTTCAGTCTGCATAAAGTTAGCAAGCCAGCATTGCTAATGCTATCGTGTCTAGGTTAAATACACGTTATTATATTAATCAATGTCAACAGCCATGTGTTATACATCCGATTGACAACAGTAATTTAAATACGTTGTTAAACGACTTGTTGTGGCGTGTGAATGGAGTGAAATGCGTGTGTCTCACGCTAAATGCGTGAGACTTGAGAGCTCTGCTTCTGTGTGAGCAGTGGTACAGAAGTCATACAGCATATACTGTATACACAGAGGTGGGAACTAACTAAGAACATTTACTCAAGTACTATACTTAGTAGAATTTTGAGATACTTGTACTTCACTTGAGTGTTTCCATATTTTTCTACTGTGTACTTCTACTCCACTACAATTCAGAGGTAAATGGTGCACTTTTACTCCACTACTATGTGTTTAATAGCTTACCTTTAGTTACTTTACAGATTTGGTTAAGATGCCTATTGGTTACTGGTGGCGTTTCATGAGTTTATGTTTATCAGTTTATTTGTTCATATAGACACCTAAAGTATATCATATATTATATGATATAAATATCTTTATGTGAGATAAGGGATCGTTGCTCACTATGATATGATAAAGTGTGTTATATGCTCCAGGAAGGATACAGTATATTATTGAATATATATTCAAGATAGCTATATACTGTATATAACATTACATTAATTGTAATTCAATATACATACATCAATCATTTATGGATAAAAGGATAACTTCACCGTTTATGAACATGATGTGTGTTTATACATGATTATATGTGTAGATAACCTGTATAAATAATGGTTAACATGGTGTCAGTGTTGTTCGCTTTGCAGTGTAGTTCTCTCTAACACTTGCATTGTTATTTTACTTAAAGTTTAGATGATCACTAAACCTATAAGCCATAAAGAAATGGGAGATGCGGAATGGACGGGCTTTGGCCTTCAGGAGGGATAAACCCGCTCCAAGGAAACGGAAGTGACGTGACCTCTGTCAGAAGGTAAAGTATAGAAACATATGTAGCTATTACTTATTATTCACATATGATAAGTATATTACTGAACATTTACAATTTACTGGTGCAAATATTATCAATCAAAGGATTTACACTGAGTGACTCACTCCAGACTAAAACATAATGATGATAGTTTCAGATTAAGAAATGCCTCATGCATATATCACACCCCCAGTAGTTACCCCCAGAGCCCAGCCTCCTCCCTGTGGTCTGCCAGGAGCCCCCAGAGCCCAGCCTCCTCCCAAGCAGTCTTTGGGTGCTGTCCATGTACGGCAGGGATATCCTCTCCCACATGGACCATATCAAGGCCAGCATCACCTCCACATTTGGTTCCATCTTAAAGATGGACTCAACCAAAAAGGTCAAATATAACGTGACTGTGTATTTGATTTCCATGTTTGTTAAACTCTCTTATAAACAATAACATTAAAAACTAATTTTTGGAAACATTAACTGCTATAGGTCATTTTTAATAAATGCCTCAACTTCGCTGTTGTCACATTCCAGATCACAAAGCATCAAAGCAAGGTGGAGATGCAGCTCTTCCCTGCTCCACCCTCTGGCCCTCAGTTGGAGATGCAGTTCTTCCCTGCTCCACCCTCTGGCCCTCAGATGGAGATGCAGCTGTTCCCTGGTCCACCCTCAGGTCCAAAGGTGGAGATGCAGCTCTTCCCTGATCCACCCTCAGGTCCTCATGTGGTGTTGCAGCTCTTCCCTGCTCCACCTTTGGGCTCCATGATATATACACCAGTGAGCTCACAGTTTCCTGTCCTGGTCGCTGCTCCACAAGCTCTGAATGCCAGCCTCTCTCTGCTTTTCCTGCTCCTGCTCCTAGTCCTGCTCCATACAGCCAAACACTGACCCGCAAAGTACTGCCCAACACGTGTGAAGGTGTGGGAGGTTTGGGACAGCAGACACTGGACACTGCCAGTACATGGAGTAGTGAACTACATTGTGCCAAAGGAGCAATGGTTGGAGGACATGACAAAATGTATATCCCCCCCCACCAGAGGCATGGACACTGGACACTTATTTATGTGTATAGTTTGATATTTATTTATATATATATGATATGTATATATTTTATGAAGTTTATGATAATGTTTATTTTATGTTAAAACTCATGAGTGTTATTTTGTTATACTTCACCTTTCTTACTTTTATGGGTTGTTTTACNCTTTCAAATAAAAAAACATCTATATTGATTCTGACTTTTCTACATCCAACTCACAGGTTTATCATTATTTTGAGAAAAAAGATTATTAGTTTTCCCCTTTTAGAAAAGGGGAAAACTAATAATCTTTTTTCTCAAAATAATGATAAACCTGTGAGTTGGATGTAGAAAAGTCAGAATCAATATAGATGTTTTTTTATTTGAAAGAAAATTCAGATTGAACATAGTAAAAAACTGTAAATTATAGTGTCCGTCCAAAGATAATTGTTTACTTATAGTGAAAACTACCCTTGGATGATGGGTTAGTAGACTAAAAGCTTTAGGAATCCAAAGTACAACATATAATAAGCACCCTGCATCAAGATTGATGCAAAACAAGTGACATTTTACCTTTTTAGAGAGGTTTAGCAAACAAAACTTCACCTCTGAGGTGATTTGGGTGGAAATGGGCGTTTTTGCTGTTTCTCTGGAACCCATTGGTCGATTTTGATGATTGACATCTCTTTTTAACCATTAGAGCCAATAGAATCAAAGGGGAATATCCACATACACGTTAACAAAAAAAGTGGGGGCTTCGCGCATGCAGTTTTGCCCAGAGCTAACCTATCTCACGATCTGACATCTGAAAATGGAAAAGTAGGTTCATTTGTGACACAGACACATTGGATTAACCTATGGATTAACTTCAGCAGCGTTTTTATCGTTGTAATGCCATTGAAGACAACTTTTGATCAGAAAACAACGAAGGTACAGTAAGAGATATTGCCGTTGTTGCTACCTAGCGCCAAGAGTTATGATGTCTGTTTTTGTTTATTATGTCGCGAGTTATTATCATAGAGTGATGATGTAGGTACCTATCGATTCTGTGTCTTCTCACAATGCTAATTGATGGGTTGGATTTTCAGTTACAATAAGTAATAAGGGTGTTATGAGTGAGTTTGTGTGCACACGCCGTTAGCATTTTTTCGCTTGTGGTTAATTCAGAGGCTGAGTGTTAGCTTTGTGGGTTTTTTTTCCAAAAAAAAAAAAAAAGATCAGTTAGCTGAGTTTCTTCCCGTTAAAACATTCATAGTATAAATATTAAGAAGCTCTCAGACGCTGTTTCCTGCAGATTATGGGGTTCAACAGGTTAAACCCTCTGTGTTCCTCCGATACTTTTATTTTCTTTGATTTATCCATAGTTCGCTCATCGAGCCGGGGGTCAGGTTATTTGCCTGCAAGAAAAGGCGCTGGCATGAGACCGTAGCAGGATATGACGCATATTTTAGTTGACCTAATTAAAACCGTTTTTTTTTTTTAAATGTATGTGTCACAGTATCATCTCCAAATACAAGATACGAAAAAAATTCAACCGTGCAACAAAATATAAATAGTCCTACAAATATTTTTATTTGATTTCCTTCTTATTATTGTCCAAGCTCAAGGGAGCCAGAGTAGAGGGCTTAAAGAGCCGCATGCGGCTCGAGAGCCGCGTTTTTGCCGACCCCTGTGTTAGGTAAAGGCCTGTTGGACGGACGATTGATAAGGGATATTGGCACCTTCATCAAACTACACACAGCAGCGAAGTATGACAAAAGGGGATAATTATTTTCAGTATCTCATGCACATACAACAATTTTATGATAACTCCCTGTAAACATCTGCATTTTAGAAAATACAATAATTTGAGAATTTTTTTCTTCTGTGATGTGCCCCTCAGCCCCATTCCCTGGTCCTGTTAGTGTGTCAGGGTCTTTATCAGCTAATTGTTAATCACTGACCTGCAGTAAGCCGTTAATTGAGACTCTGCGAATTAAAGATAATAGTCATTAGAGCGAGGAGAGAGATCACCCATCACACTGAGACAGGAGATGTCACAGCTCTAAAGATGAACGATGGCTCTCAGTGTCAAGAGCACCACAGCTCAGAGCATGAAAGAAGGAAATGGATGAAGATGGCAGCAAAGTGTTCCGGCTGTCTTTAGGAACGTTCACAAATAGAACCTGCTGCAGTGGACTATTAGCAATCCTCGAGATGAATCACAAACCCCAGACACCCAAGGCCCTCTAGTCACCTATACTCTTAATTATACATCATATCACACTTTTTACTTTATTTTTTTAGAAAATGCATGTGCTTTTATCATACCTTTGTTGCGTACTCTTCTTGCATATCATCTATTTTTTCCTAGATCCTTGTTTTACCCTGTTTTTCAGTTGCAATACACTTTGTCAATGTTATATTATACATTATTTAATGCTGTATTGACATTTTCTGAAGTATTACCAAATACAAACCATATAAATACTGTTTCTCACTGGCTGTAGTCCCTCCCTTTGTTAGTGTCTGCTGAGAAATGGCAGTATATTAAACCCAGGAATGTTTCATTGGTTACAGTGACAATTAATGTCTGTCAGCACAAACAGTTTTCCGTACATATCCACACACACAAACAAAGTTTGCAATCCAGGGAATGTTAATCAAACTGGGTTTTGTTAGATAACATATCTCTTTCTTTCTATTGTGAAATCAAATAAATATGAATCAAAGTATTGTTTGTTTATACATTTTAAGAATGGCTTTTTAAATTCATTTTATTACATTTATTTGGGTCTACAACAAATGATTCAAATGTTTATGTTAGTAAATATGTGTTAAGAGAGGTGGAAGGTGTTGGGGGGGGGGGTGTTTGTGTGTGTCAAACGTCAGCTGCACCGGCGTCATCACAAACGGACGTCGCCTCAAGTGTGAGGAAAGGACGTCCCATTGTTCTTAAAACACATTGCTTCTTCTCCCTTCTCGTGGTTTCCTTGTGTCTCAGGAAAGGAAGCAAGGAAAAGACGCAAGTGAGGGACGCAGGGATGCAAATTAAGAGACATTGAATGTAGCTAATGTAGCTAATATCCTCGTCTCCCTTTGTCCTGTGCCAGTTCGTCTTGCTTCATGTGGAGTGAAGAGAACCTTTTTTCCTACGTTTTGCCTCTAAAAGATTTAGATGTAATCTGTTACAAGCCACACCTGATTTTATCTGCTTTCCCAAGATGTGAAGATTAAAAATAGCAGTCCTAAATAGAAATGCCCTGAAAAACATTACATTACATGAGTCTAGCTTCCAATTGGCTTTTCTTTCACTGAATATGGGCAAATGCAATTTGACTGAAAAGAAACAGCCACATGCCCTTAAGAGTGAAGGCCAAAGACCAGCTCACAAAATAGTTGACAGCAGATAAGGCTGGCTACATTTTACTGTAAACCACTTTTTTGTGAGAGAAATTATAACCAAACATCAGAATGTTTATTTCAGTTAAGTCTGTAGTCTGTGAAAACATCTATCATCTATGTTATTGTGAGTTTTTCTATGCTTGCAAGAACTATGACATATCGGGTTTGTTCAAATAATTTAAAAACAGTGCTTTAGAAAATCTGCAGTGTAGTTTACAATTTTTAATAATAACTTCATAACTCTTAAGAATATTCCCCTGTTATTAAAATGTATCCAAAATGGGTGATTAAATTAATAAAGCTCTCTCTGTCATGAGGGTTTGAGTTATTTTCATGAGAGATATTCATTTTCTAAATGATGGTATATAAATCCAAAACTGCACTGTCTTCATCTGAAGACACCGGTAACCAATTGACATTAATGGCCCAATTTGACCTCAAGTGACTCACACTGGATTTAACATGCCGAGTGGATTCTGTTTTCACTCAGAAAGTAAGAGCAACACTGATATCACATAAATGATAATTGACTGGGTGGTTGCATGGTAATTTTATCTACGTTTATTTTTAGGACAGGGCACCAATAATCAAATTACTTTTTCTGGGTCAGTTTGACTTGATAAGGCTCATATATCATATGTCTTGATGAATATTAATATGACTATATATTTTTCTAACTGTAAGACATAAAACATGGACAGCACGGCATGCAGAAATTAGAACTATTAAATATTATGTGATGACAGCTCTGCATGTTTTAATGACTTTATAATTTAAGTCTGATTGTGTTTACTAGGATAAAAAAAGGAAATGATGACAATAATTTCATTTTTGGAAGATAACAATGGTAGTGGTCCCTAAAACATTGGTCAATTTGGACATTCAAAGGTTTGATCTTTTGCAATAGCAGACCGTTGCTAAGGATGTTCTGATCAATGGACAGAAAGAGGTCAGGTCAATTTCATATCAGCGGTGACACCATAGAATACTTTGGGAACTTGTATTTGTAGTCATAGTGTTACATACCGGGGGTCGCGGAACAGTTCACTTACTATGGTGACCAACAGATGCAAACCCGCTACAACGGCCTGAAACGCTCCCATTAGGAGAACTCATTGCAGCTTCAGAAACTGTGCAAATAAAAAAAGAATTGGCCAAAATCTGTCAGATTAATCTGGAATACTACTGGATCCGTCAGCTTTTTATGACTGGATGCTTAAGGAGCTCTTGTGGTTTGCAGAGGGCAATTGTTTGAAGGTATCTTTTTTATCAGCATGGTGGAATTCAATGCTCCCTCTCTCAGCGGCAGGCAGGCCGGTCCACATGGAAACCAACGCTGCGACACAATGAATCAATAAACTGCTCACTGTATCGCTTCAGAACTCTGGCTGTTTAAAAAACCTAATCAAAATAGTGATGGATAAACTCATGCTAATATTACAATATTAACTATTAATGTATATGAAAAGTTAGACTCAGTCTCAAACTCCCCTTAGCAAAACAAATTATTGACAGGAGACTACACTGAAACTTAAAAATAAAACGTCAGTTCATTAACATTAAAGAAATGACCGCCCTGAATATATAGCTTTTTCTGGTAATGTGGTTTAAAGTGCAATTAAAGGACATTCATTTGAATGTTATTATTTTGTACTTTATGAACTTCAGTCATTTTTAAATAGAACACAAATCCAAACAGGTCCGACAGGAGACACACCACTGATTCTCAGATTGTCTGTTTCACACGTCCATAACACTCCAGATGAAGAGGGCGCATGCGCAC